GACTACGCTTACTGGTTGACAGTATTCGACACTTACTAGATGCTAGGGATCAGCTTACAGTGAACATTATGCCATCAGCTCCTCATACATGTTGCTTTCTTGTAATCACAAATCTGTCTAAGAAGTTGCATAATACGTTTTTTTGCACAAACTACCTTGACATCACTCGTCTGACTAACCATGCCCTTCACCTATGCAATAAGTTAAACCAGGATACTGTATTCATTCCACGTCACAATTTTTGAATTAATAATTAACTCCTTTTGACTGAATTTTGCCACATTCCAATATCAGCTGCTAAGATATTTCACCATCACAGCATCTCCTCAACCCTATAAGGGAATGACTGCTTTACTTTCAATTTCAGGGTTAAGACACTGAAGTTGTTCCAACAGATCTAAATCTGAAAGTTAACTTTTGAAAACTTCAACCCATCTATGATGTGATGCAGAAATAAGCTGACAATGACGTGGAATACCTTTTTTCAATATAATTCACGTCAACTATTTCCAGGTATATAACAAGAGGTGAATATTCAGTATTATGTTCGTGTACATACATACTGTGTACAGAGTTTCTGATAGCAAACTAGAGATAATGACACAAATTCACACTGATTTATAAAAGTACTAAAAACAGTAACTGTAACTGTATTATTGTTGTATTTTTAACAATGTATACGGTGTAAAAGACTACAAAAGAGAAGCGTATGCATTCAGAAGTCAACTAAATATTGGCTCAAAACTTACAGAACTGAGACATCGGTTGATGAGATTATATTAGGCAGACAGTTATGCCTGACCCCCACAGTCTTCAAGTTTCAGAACAAAATATACAGACAACCAGAAGGAGTAGCAATAGGATCGCCAACATCCCCAATCGTAGCGGATATATTTATGGATAGTTGGGAAAATATGGCTTTACAAACGTTTAGTCCTATACCGAAAATACGGTGGCGATATGTGGATGACATATTTGCTGTGTTCAAATCGAAACATATCGACAATTTCCTCATGCATATAAACTCAGTAGTAAGCTCAATCCAATTCACTTACGAGGTAGGAAATGAACAAGGAGAATTACCCATATTGGATTGCAGAATAAAACGAAGAACAGACGGTGGCTTGGATACTACTGTCCACAGAAAACCAACACATTCCAACAGGTATCTAGACTTAAAATCATCCCATCCAATGTCAGTTAAGGCAGCATTAGTCAAATGTCTAAATAACACAGCTAGAAAACTGACGAGTCACAGCAAGAACCTAAACAAGGAATTGAAACACTCAAAAGAAGCACTACTTGTCAATAATTATCCTGCACAGTTTATTAAGAAATTCTTACGGACACACAAAAAGCGAAACAATAACAGTCACACGAGTTTGAATAATAACGACAATACGAGAAAAAAGGAGTTCACAACCTCCATTGTATTACCCTATAGGGAGGGTACCCCAGAAACCTTACGTAGAATCCCTAACAGAGCTGGAATTAGGGTGGCATTCAAACCTACAAACTCACTCAGAGACAAACTTTGTTGGCTTAGGAATCCAATAGAACCAATTAAGCAAAATAATATAATCTATCAAATACCATGTAATGACTGCGAGGTCAAGTATATAGATCAAACTAGCCGGTCGGGGTCAGTTAGAATAGCCAAACATAGGAATTTAGCTAAGTATAGAATGACAGACCTAAATAAGAGCAATAATCTGGAAAAACTCAGCTATTGCTATACATGCATTAAGACACAACCACACAATAGGCTGTGTGGGATAAAGCCACTGTACGTAAGTCCAATATAATTAGGTGGAGAGATTGATTACTGAATCTTTGTTCATCGAATCAACACAACACATATAACAGGAATGACGCAACACCTATACCAGAGATATGGAAAATTTTGCTACCAATAAAAACAACTCATGCAAAGTGACGTAACTATAAAAATCAAATGTCGAAAGTAGTGTGATTACATTGATATGATTATGAGCAATAATTTATGCTCTAAGCGTCATCAATTAAATAATACTAGATCACTGTGTTATAAATCAAATAAACAAATCTAATATGGAATTAATGGTAAGGTCTCTGACTTCAAAGCCCCATAGAGTTAATTTCAAACCTCTGAAGCAATACGGTTGCAGATAAATCTAGCTAACCTATGAGTATCAATAAACACGAAAACCAGATAAGTAATGCTTTCTGTCGATGAATTTTCAATCTTTTAGAGAAACAAATATCATTCAATAAATGATCTCAACAAAAAGGATTAGCTCCCGACATCATTTGCAAACCGTTATTACAAGATAGCCTACATGTCATCTGGTTCTTATAATGAGTTAGAAAAGTCTTTGATGCTAAAGCTTCTAGATACAAGCTGAAAAGCGTGCAGCTACGCAGTAATACAACAGATTTATAAAACTGACTAATACCAGTAAGGAACTTAGTGCATAACACATTAACAATCAAGCTAGTAAAAGCAGTTGTTTTGGTAGTAGATGAGGTGGTAGTTTAAGTAATAATTCAATATGGCAACAAATCCGATAGTTTTAAAAATAATTTAGGGTAGACCTAAACTGACAACAATGTAGGTATGGTAATTTTTCTCACTAAAACAAATCAGTGCCAACTGAGTCCATTGATTTCCTCTGAGCCAAATAAAATAAGTCTTCTCAATGCCTCTGTTATCGGAAATCCATGCACACCAAATGGTGATATTGTTCCATAGAATAGTAGTGAATTTTTAAAAAGAAAGATTGTAAACAACGATTTCTAACTAATCCATTGCAGTAACTCCTCGTGAAATGAATCCAGCAGTACAAACACTGTAAAACTTTCGTTATTCTGGTGTATCTAAGACACCCCACTGACTATAGCATCAAATGTCTTAGGTCGTTGGAAACCAGCTTCATATGGTCGATGATGAGTAGCTGAAAGAAATTTCTCGAATGTTTCTTCCACAACTACTTAATGCAACACTTTTATCTACTTCACTTCTATTCTGTTTCTATCCACTTCCTTGTAGTGTACTATTGTGACTTGTGGCACAACTAACTAGTACAGATCCTTGATAGTTTCAATTCTTTCTATCTACTAGGATAATTCAGACAAGTCCTAGGCTACTCAAGGCAGTTGCTCTTAAGAACTACACGACTAGTAACCTTTATACACAGAGATTCATATGTTTTTTCTAAGAAAAAAGTAAATATCTACATGTAATGACTAACAGCCATGTGACACTCTTTATTTAGAAAGCGATTATAAGGTAGAAAGTCAATACAGTAGACACATTTGCTCTAACCTTTTGCTGCCTTTTCAAATTCACGTTTTTCGGGTATGCAGACTGGGACACTAAATCAACAGACATGATGCCAGAAGTACATATATGCTGAAATGTTTTCACCACTGTACAAATAAGCGTAAATGCGAACATAGATCACTTCGTATGTGCGCATACAATTATGTATCATAAAAAGTCAAATGCACTACAGTACTTGTTTTCTGCTTATTTCCTGATTCCTGGTTATTTAAGTTTTCCATATCATTTTCATTGGTAATAGGAGTGTAGCTATTCCCTTGCTTCTTTGAATCATAATTCTGCTACTCTAAATGTCACATTTCAAATAAACGTACGTAAATGAAGAAAGCGAACGGTAAGAGTAGTAGCAGTAGTAATAATAATAATAATAATTTGTTGGACGATACTAGAAATAAAAGCATTGCCAAAATATCCCATATTTGGTGCATTTGTTCATTTGCATACCGTTTTGTTGAGTTTATTTCACACTTATCCTTATCCAACAGCAAAGTTCTCGCTGCTTGGTTGCTGTTTGACGCAAAAACTTCTGCTAATATTTACGTATAACTTTAATTGCATAAATGTGTGTGTGTCCATGTGGTCATAAACCTCTTGGTAAGGCTGATTTAAGTGAGACAAGTGCTTTCTTCACACCATATGTTTGCATTCGTATAAGGTTACTGATGTTATTGTTATTATTACTTCGAATGCTGAGACATAAACATTTACTTATGAATAAAAATACAATCCTGAGCTATCATAATTGCTGTAATCTTCAAACTGTTTTTGTGCATAGGTATGTTGCAATTGTTATGTTCGGCAGTACATAGGCTCCCCATGATGTAACTTGGATGATCAATGACTCCAATTCCATAAGTTCTTTTCAATACTGTGGTAGCACCTATACAATGTGACAGGACACATAAACACTATGTACAGACAGCATACCGATGATGTCGCTTAACACTAAAAGTCTACTTCGTTATTCAGAAAAAACAAGGTCAATTCAATAAGATAACATCTGTTTCTCTCCCCTTTTGGTGAGATAGACTTCATGAACAACCTAACTCTCCTCTCCTTCAGCGTACTGAGTAAGATATACTTGTGGTGTATTAACCTAGTCACTCTACTTTCAGTCACCGAATGAGTAGTCACATACTCACTCTTGCTGTCAAATACTGCATGATATCGCCAGCCTGTGCAGGACAAATGTGACGCATAGCTCTTCTGAGATGTAATAAAATATGAGTTTTATTTTTATTGGAAGTAATTCGCACTAATCCATTTCTTTAATTTCCCAGTACACTTAGTATTCATTTAGTATGGCGATGAAAGTATTTTTTGCATAACCTCGAACCCTCTACTAGCACCTTATAATGATTGGCTAAATCATCATGTTGAAAATGTTTGTTTCCTCGGTAATGCGTTTATGCCCATGGTACAAGTCGACAACATAAGCAGCAGAGGATTCGACAGTTAATTAGGCCACACAAATCCGAAAATCTGTATTGTGAGTTTGTACACACAGACTGGCAGTTCGACAGTACCCAGTGGCATATTCTAGTCCTGACTAGTGATCAGTGTTTACCAAAGCCCATTGACTTTGCATGCATTGGTCAATACTAAGAACTGGTTGGTGTACAGTGACCACTTACTATATCATATAATATTTCAGAAAACAAAAGTAAAATATTCGATAAAAGGAATCATAGCCAGCGCTACATATCAGCTTCAGGAGCAGATACATCCAAACACACAAACAGATATTAAACTCCAATGTCCCATAATTCATGGATATATCCCTTTCAATATCGTTCAATTAAAGAGTATAAAACAAGGTTACTGATATTATGCACACAGTTTCTGACTAATGAATAATAATTGACTAAACATGTTCACTGAATCAAAAAACTACATATATGAATCCCTTTGCGTACATGAATACATGTGTGTTATTAATTAACTGATTAATTTTATATACTGCATTTTACCTTTCATAAAAGGTCTACATAATCATGTGTGTAAATCAGCATTAGGTTTATGCTTGTCTGTAATTGACATTTATTAATATTATTATTTGAAACAATCGATTGCCTCAGATGCATCAGCATCATTATCATCGTCAGTTCACACACATACACACATATCGAGAAATATATCTAAACTGACGCCTACGTGTTTGCATACGTGCACACACACGAAGGTATGTATACCTGTAGGCGACATATACATGTGTAGTACGATGTATGAATACTTTTTCAAATGTCATTAAGTCTGAAAGTTGGACTGACGCGAAGGTGGAGAAAAGAGTAAGTAGAGAAGAAATAAGTCAAAACGTCTCTAATGTTGCATTCATTACACATTATGTAATCCATGTAACAACTAACAATGCTATGAATAGTGGTACAATTAAAAATCAGTGGTTTGCATCGAACATTATCTTGAATAATTCCCTTTTTATTTTGAAATATGTGAAAGTTTTGTCTTCTTTGCTGTTCATCCTGTTACAGAACAAGAAGAAAGCGATCTTGTTAGAGCCAGAAAGGGTTTATTGAGAGATGCATGAACAGATGAACTTAGGTCGCATTTCAATGAGTGGAGAAATCGAAAAAGAAAATAAACGCTAAAAGCCATGAAAGCATCGATGGATGAGACATTTTTATCAGAAAACGTCAACCCACTTTGATATTGTTGGTAATTAATGTGCTCAAAGTAAAATTGAACTTGGGTTATAGCGCGTCTTATACCTCAGCGACAGCAGAAATCTGACGAGAAAGACAGCCAAAATCTAATTTCCGCGGAAGCGGAGGAAAACAGCTTTGCATCACGACGAACTCCACTTACAGATAGTGAAACCACCGACTGGTTCAAGGTTACTCTGGTCAGCACAGGTATAGAGACAAGCAGAATCAGTGTAGAACCTTGCACACACACAGTAGCATGCATAGAATAAGTGTGTAGAGAATGATATCAACGTAAGCAAACGTCAATGGGAGGAAAAGAAACCTATAAGTCAAAGTTAGTGAAAATGTCCAAGCTTTAGGAGGAGTTAAAGAGTAATTACCTCTGCACCATTGTGACCAATTTGCAATTAATGTTCTCCAAATATTGATTCCTGCTGTCTCGACGACCCAACCATGTAGATCTCATTGACGCACCATCATCCTAGGAATTATGTTTTGGTGGCTTGAACTGTTAACAATGTTCACAGGGTAAGTGATCGGGGCGCGTGCAAAGAAATGTGCCACCCGTCTACCATCACATCTGTTGATGAAAACAAGCAGCATATCAGCAGATATGGGCTGAAGGCAACAACTACAGTAAGGGATAAATGTCTTTTTGGAGCCATCAGCCAAACAAATGTTTACCATTGTTCTAGTCATTTACCAGGTTTTATTGAATCAGGCCTTAAACAAATGAAATGAAAATGACAGAAGAGATATCAGCTTTGCAGTCTGTTTATACTTAAACTTGAATTTACGCTTGCAGTGACTTCAAATATCTGGCAATACTTTTCAAACAATAAAAAATGTGGAGTTCTGCATGGTTGTGTTTATTAGAGATGATGTAAATATTTACCAGAATGAGCTGGCAATGATTTTGATAAAAATGACAGCTACCTTTCCTAGTTGAGGTGAGGTGGACGCTACCCAGAGGGTGTATTTGTTTACAACCCCAGTATATGTAAACGAAATGATTCATCTTTTCCTTGTATATACTTTTAGAAAACTCGACTGTTCTTCGTCTCTTACCTTGACACAACACTCAAAATATAAGTTGTTTTGACACCACTGCCTAGTTAATGGTTACTTATAATTGTAGGCGATATCTACACTGAAGGCAAGTAGTGAATTATACTGAAGCATAGTATCAGTATTCAAATAGAATTAAATCACTCATCCTCATATTTAGAAAATCTAAGCTTTAAAACTAAATACAGTTTTCAAAGTTAATTGGCTAACCGTTTATTGATCTGGATGCATTCTGGAACCGGGTACCTCATGTATTCGATTTCATGACCCTATCACAAGGCATGAAAATCCTAGCTCCTACCGCACACACACACACACACACACACGTTAGAATAGATGTCATTACATAAGAGTTCTAAACTGAAATATCTCAACTGATAAATACACCTGTAGGCTTTAAGTAGTTGTCTGGCTGACATCAGTATCCTGTAAAAATCATATTCATGCTACTAAATGGACGCATCACATACACCAAATGATTTCTTAAAACTATAGACCTGAGGTGAAACCCATATGAAGAAAACAGCAGGTAGAACTTCTCATATGTTTCAGCCTCTTTTCTCTTTCACACACAACCACAGACTAATGAAGCTTTTGGTGTCAAACATCACATGTTTCACATACCAAACTGTTTGCAAAGTCAAATCAACCAATTCATATTGATTTTGTACAGAATCTTTGTGTTGTTTTTATCACTTCAAACGATCTTTATTTATGGATTGAACTGATCAATGAAGGAAAGTATCTCTACGGGTTACTTTAAGTTACTCATTTGACTTAGCGCATTTGTGGCTAAATGAATCATAGATTATACTTTCAAGAGTTGGAGACTCTAGGTGATATGGCTCAGAACCAATATCAGTGGCACAGGTATATACACACATTATCCTCATCTTAACGACGCTATACCGAATCTCACCATCTCATCCTTCCTTTCACTTTTTTCGTACTTTACATTTCTTTTGACCGGGTTTTCTTATCTTCATCTTGCACCTCACTGCCTTTTTCCTTGATGTAGTGATATAGGCTGTGACAACTCGGACCCTTACGCAGTAATCCCTGGTCCTATGTTGATATTGATGACCATGACTTTCAAGCGTTGGACCAGCTGTTCGAACTCGTGTACCACCAAATCCAGTTTGGACTGTAGTCTAGCATCATAAGAGAGCATATATTAGGTGTGAACTGAAACTCTAATATGCAGAAAGTTTCTGAGTTGACTTGAAGTTATCTTGAGCAACAAACAGATAACCATAGTTTTATTTCCATTCTACGCCTTTCTTCTTATTCAATATAATTTATGTATACATTCAGTATTTCGGAGAGCGTAAGGCATTCCTCCCAACCAAGAGGTCCACCGTGCACATTCTGTAAAGCAAAATACCTTTCAACGTCAATTAAGAAAGTAAGATTAAATTTTATGCATCGGGTTTCAACTTCAGTAAAGTAACGATATACAACATGAAGATAAAAGATCTCCGGACCTTATCCTAGTCGTCACGTGATCAGTCATATTTAGTGTAAGTTTTGGGCTGATATTCAGAGGTTATCCAATTTGTTATGATTCTTTTTAATCGTACATGTTATGTTCTACTACTGAAAACAATCTAAAAATGTGCATCGAATGAGTTCCTCACGTCAACGCTTTTGGAGTACATCTAAGAAACGGTGCCTATCAGTATTTTATTAAAGACACAGGAAACTAGAACGGATACATTTTCTAACAATCACAAGGGCGTTGACATGACAACAATAAGATATTATAAAACATAATCAGATCAATGATGGATACAATCTATTTGGAATGGAATAAGTATAAGAAAATGTGGGATTTTAAATTCTGTACAAAGTCTACATATGGTAAGCCAATAGGGTTATAATAAAAATCAAAAAAGATAATAAAAATTCCAGGTTAATTATAAAATCCTAAAAATATATAAACACTATTTATCTGTAGTTTCCTGAACTTATAAGCTAAACGAACGAAATATGTTGTGTTATATTCTTGTAGTGACTACTTGGTATAACCTGTCATGTATGTATGTATGTATGTATGTATATATACGTACGTGGATGCTTGAACAATGTTCTTCAGATTCCATCCCTTGATGGTAGTACAATTTCTCGATAAATTGAATAGGCGGTAATATAACAGAAGGTGCATTGTAATGTCAAGAATACATAGGAAATATAGGGGTTAATATATATATTCACAATGGCTCTGACAAGTTACAGGCTTTTCTAGATTTGAATCGCATTGACTTTTGTTCTCTTCAACTAACCTGATATTTACACTTTGGTTTACGTGCATTTTCCCGAAACTTTAGAATAAAATGATTTGCTGTAAAGGAATTCAGGGATATACAGCTTCTTATGAAGATCTTAGCAATCGTTTTGTACATCATAGCTGTAAGCAAGCATCTTGAAACAGACGTATACTGCCTTAACAGTCTTAGGCATAAGCAGTAAATCACTACACACCTTGTTCATGAAGCTTAGCTAAAATATTGAGAGCATATTTAACAAACGGATTTCGGTATTCAAATAACCTATACAACAAAATACATACGCGAATTACTGTCAGCATATCGAGTTCACGACTCAATTATCCTAAAAAGATGAATGTAATTTAGCTAGCTTAGCCAAACAGGATCTGTAGTAAGCAGATACACTATCTGTAAGACTGGTGACCTTGAATACCTTTTTCTCGTTGTGATGAGTATATAGTTAGCATGTTTTTTCGGCAAACTATGCAGTCCGCTTAGATATCACACATATTGTGACCTTGAAATTAAACTCAGCATGAAACTAAAAAAACGTCAGGGTGAACTATGGGATTAGTAAATAATTTGTAAACCAACCAACCATTTCATTCCATCCAAGTTATATAACTAGATTTAGTCGGTGGGAAAAATCTACGTCTTTTTCAACTAAATTTGTTTCATCTAGCCGTTCATGAGGCTGAATAGTCAACAGTCTTTAAATTATTCTAAATTAACTGTTAATTTTGTAAACCAACATGACCATGTTTATACTACTCATTTTGTTCAGTAGTACGTTTTCCTGCTAACCTGAGTGGTTAGACCTCTTACTTTATTACCATTCAGAAATAAAATGGAAAAGGTAAATATATGATAGCAAAAGGAACATAACTAATATTCTTCTCACTTCAGTTATTACGTGAAATCTAGATGTGTCATGCTCATGTAATTCTGAATAAAACGGCATCTACTGTCGAATTATGACGTTATCTTTCTAATTTCTAAATACCGTGTGGAAACAGGCAACTCGTTTTAAATCTAAAAAATAACCATAAGTGACAAAAATTGCAATCCAGTGCTTCCTAATTCTCACTGGTTATTCAAATAATTTATTGACGTGTTATTTAGTTGACCTTGATTTGCATACGCGTACGTTGTTGAAATAAAATTTACAAACTATTTTATATGGTAACGAACATATAGTTTTATTGCACAACTGTCATTCATCCTACTGTTTAATTCATTCTTACACAACACACCACACATGGAAATTCTTGGCTGCTGTGCAGAGTATAG